AAGAAAAAAAAAAAAAAACTTCGGCACCGCAAGCACCACTCTCCGCGCACATTCTGCAAGATGTCAATTCACACCACAAGAGCTGGCAAGTAACACGCACAACCAAAAATGAACATTTAATTTCGAACTCTTAAACTTAATTCGTTCTCGTCATTGCATTTTTTTTCTCGCTTTTCTCCCTACGTATCGAATGCTTCACACTCGCTTGCATTCTAGGGAGGGGGCTATTGTAGTGATTCAATTTAGGCCATTTTATACAATCCATCATTGCTTCTTCTGCATACCTACGTAATTCTATATTCATCATTATCTATGTTAATTACACGTCATTTTAACCTAATCTATCACACCATTGTTAACCATCGAGCATATCCTTTCCTTTGTATAACTCTTAATTAAGTTTGCCAGTTTTCTATATCAATACGCACTTTTGTAAATTATAGTCAGTCAGTGGAAATCACGTTACACACTGCACAAACAGTTTGCATCTCTCTGGCCCCGTGTCCTCTGCACGTTAAATAAGATCGCACTGGTTGAAACAGCACGTTTGTCGTTTAATGGACATTTTAGTCAATCATCGATCGATGTTCCGATGAACACTAAAATCTCACTATATGGGCTGTGTGCTGATTTGTACGAAAATAAAAAGTTCCAAAATATAGATCAATTTTTTTACAAATTGTTGTTACAAGCTACAGTTATTGATCTCTCTTAGAAAAATATTACTCTTGGCTAAACAGTACCATAATACCTATCTCCATAATCACCTAATCCTGGTACTATGAACATGTGTTCATTCAAGCATTTGTCAATAGCACCTGTCATGACTGAAACATTTGGATATGCACAAAAAAGATTTTTTATTCCTTCAGGACAACAGACAAGATTAAGAAACATAATGCATTCCTCTTTCACTCCAGCCTCAATTAGAACTGCAATAGCACGTTTGGCACTGCCAGCAGTAGCCAACATTGGATCAACCAGAATGACAAAACATTCAGAAATATCCCTCGGTAATTTCTTGTAATACAATATAGGCCTTTTATCTTTAGTAGACTCATCTCGCTGTATTAGTATCTTCCCAATTCTCACCCCAGGTTTTATTTGTCTTACAGCTTCTTGAAGAATATCACCAGACCTTGGAATGGAGACAACACAAAGCTTCAGCTCCCCCTTTTTGACCAAACCCTTACTTTTTCCACATGGTGTATCTACTGTGCCATAGCCAACATTTGGTAAGCTGGCAAGGGCCTCCTCTGCCAAGATGCGCATAAGCCTGTCACCATGAATCATGAAATCTTTGGCACAGGTCTCTTTGTCTCTTAATTTTGTAAGCAGATAGTTTACTGCTCTGGTCTTCAAAACTGTAACTTTGTCTTTATATTTTGTATCCATATCACAATGCTCATCACAACCATTTCCTGCCTGTAACATCTTCAAGTCTAAAAATGTAATTAAAGATTCCTTTCATTTCATCCCACTCCTCCAATCCTCCTTCTTTTATAAGTTCTTTTGCCAAAAAAACCTACCTGGGAAAAACCTAATATCTTCTTAAGGGAAGTAAGGCTATTTGCAATTGTTAAAATTCACTAATTCAATATTTTTAGTGCATGAAATAAAAATACATCAATGGCTTATTTAATCTTGTCAAGTTAGAATCACTTTAGCTCTAGAGCTAATCATTTGTGCACCTTCACTTGGACTTTTCAACTATTTGAAGGCATAAAGCTGAATGCACACTGGACATGTCATGGCCTGGCAAGTCATCTAGGGTCACAAAGTGTCACATCATGCTGCAGGTGAACAAAATCGTCCAAAAGTGTCAGGTGTGGCAGAACTATCAATTTTCCTGGATCTAATTTGTATAAACCTAGATGCTAAGTGTGCCCTCACAATACCATGTCTGCATCTCCAGGGAGCTGATACCATGCTCTGCATACTGGGCAGTATCTAAAAAAATGCAAGCTTCCTATCCCAATTTTGTGTATATATCTTTGTTCCAGGGATTTAGGCAGTGGACAATTTTTTTAAGGGTTGCAATTATAGTATACTTCACTGATAGTCATTCCTGCTTAAAGTCAAAACCATTTACAGTCACATGAAATTTAGACCCAAATATGTAAAACTGTTAAATGAAGCTATGATTACAGTCACATTCTGCTCACAGTGATAGCTTTTCAAACAACATTTGATGTGACTACAACCCGAGTCTACAAGGCTATATCGTATATTAGCTTTCTACAAGCCCAATAAGCTTTTGTGGCTGATAAGATTATTTTTCACTTATCTGCATTTCCCCCTTTCTTTGACTTTTTAAAAATAATTTTGCACTTTTAGGCATGTTTGGACAAAAATTCACAGCGCTGGTACACCAGAGTGGCCATCCTGACAATTTTGATGACCTTTTCCAATGCCCCAGCTAAGGTGTGGGCCTGTAAATATCAATAAACTTGACCATACACTGGGAAAAAGTACAATTTTTTTATTGACGCATTAAATTTTAGTTCAATTCAAAAAAATTTAGTTCCAAAATATTTAATCTAACTAGAATCTAAAATTGAGCATTCGATGATCATGAGCAATGAACTAGAAGCTAAACATGAAAACAAATATTTACGTAAAATTATAATATGTTTTTTGAACATTCACTGCTGCAAGTTATTGGTTTCACCTTTTTACGGCAAAACTGACGGCCAATACGGTCCTAATGGTTTTGTCATTTTAGATAAAAAGGGCGAATACATTTTATGAACTTTTAATGAAAGATATTTGCCGTCAGTTGGCATGGAACTAAACCCAAAATGAGTTTCACTCACTCTTAGATATCAATGGTCTTTGCCAGTGGCGAAGCTAGCCAAAAATTGTTGGTCCTGCTATATGGACAGGGCCACGCCCTTATTCAATAGGAAAAGCCCATGGACAAAAATTCCTTTTTGCAGATGAATTTTTTCTTAAATTCAGTAAAAAGCAAATTTTAAATCGATGTCTATCTCTTGAAAAATAAACCAATACTTAAAGACGTGCTTTAGGGGGCTTACTTTTCAAACAAATCTATGTTAAATTGTAGTAAGCCTCTACAGCTGAAGTAAAAGTTCAAATTGGTGATAACTAAATTTGACGATAAAAGGGGGTAGGGGTGGCATTTGAAGTTGCATATCATATATTTGTGGTATTCCAGATTTTGGTCTTATAAACCTGACCATCTAGATACTCTATTAAAATAATTTTAATAAACAACAGAGTTTAAAGTCTGTAGTGGCAAGTTCACATATTCTGCAGAACAATTATTCTGCAGCTGATAAAGAGAGGTACAATTGAATAATGTGTCGCATTATCAATGAAAACAACTTTATTAGCCAAACCATTAGACGAGAAAACAAATCAGGTAGAAAAATGCAAATTCCGCTGAAATTGGTTTATTCTCCAACTCCAAACTTTCAATCACACAACAGTAAATTCAATTATGCTTTCATCGTCCTTGTCCAAGTCTAAGAAAATCTTACTTAGGCCACCATGATATACCGTGCCTCAAACGATCGTACGAAGGCCGAAATCAGAGTGCCTCATACAGCTAATTCTTGTTGTTTACATTTCTTTCTTGCGAACTTTGGACTCTGTCTTGTTACAAATAACATTTATGCAGCTCAACTGAGGCAAGTTTTGCTGTCAATAATAATATCATTGGTATTGCCAAAGCAAGCAGAAAATCCGCATTCACATCGCCTCGCCATAATACTTGAACTGGCCTCCTTGCTAGTATCTCATAGCAGAACGAGAATGCACAGGGCAATTCTTGCAGTCCTGCTCTCAGAAATAGCAGGACCAAAGGTTTTCAAACAATGCTCTTTGACCTACGTAGGTGAACCCTCGACCAATCAAATCACAACTGCTTACGAAATGTTATGATGGTCATTTCGACGAGGTCCTGCTCCCGAGATTGAGCAGGACTGCTCTTTGTTCTAGACTATTGTGAAGCAGGACTAAATTCACAAAAGCCCATTGTGAAGCAGGACCAAACATAGGGTATCATAGTTATGAGCAGGACCGAAATACAGGGCTGCCGTAGGAGAGAACAGGACCTTGAGATTAGCACGGGATGCCTGTATCAGCTGGCGGAACTGGGGACTGTTTATCAAATAGAATTTGAAACTTCCTTTTTGCAAGGAAGAAATTGTTTATTGTTTACAGTAAATCTTATCTTTGGAAATTCTTGGTCCTGCTCAGCAGGACCAGCAGGACCTTTGGCTTCGCCACTGGTCTTTGCTGTTTCTTCTTAGAGTTTAGGAACACGACGAACGCTCTTCCCACGTGTAATGCAAGGAGATACTGCGCAGGCATTGGCGCAGCGGCGATCTTCTACGAAAGGGGGCAGAAACCATCCATAAATCCGCGAATTGGCCCATCCCCCTATGAGATAAAAAAGATCTAAAAAAATAAAGCCCCAAGCTGAGGTTTGAGGATTTGCGTTATTTTTGTTAATTAGTTACCAGGGGCGTATCTGATGGGGGTGTTGGGGTGTGACATCACCATATTATTTTATTTTGTTGTATTGCTTTCAATATCTGTGAGCTTGTTCATTTTACTCACGCGCTCCCTTGTCGAAAAGTAAAAGTTAAATTTAATGCAGAATGACCAGAACTTATACAATGTTAGAAATAAACTATTTTGGACAAAACTGGTTTTCTATAAAATTTGTCATTCTAAGAATGTAAACGAACAACACGTAATTGTTAGTTAGAAAACTGATCATTTACTTTCCTAATTAGTGGTAAGCATATAAATACGAGGAATGTTTTAACTCGCGTAAAATGCAGACAGCATATGTGGGTGAAATTCTTGGGGATGCAGAACAATTGAGGTAGAGTTCCATGTAGGACCCCTTAGCTGTGTGTTTGAATATATCTACAAAAATAACACAGCAAAATTTAGCAAATTTTAACTAAAAATGAAACATTTATCGGGACACTACTTCCAAGAATCAAGGACTTCCAATCTGCGGGCCGGCATGTGTTGGGTTTTAAGAGGTCAATTGGCAAGCCACAAACGGAACTCAATTAAAAACATGTCATTCAAATTGTTCAGGTTCCTGGAAGTTTGATTCCGGGAAAATAGACAGGTTCTAAGTCCCTAGAAGCCTGGTTCCAAGAAAAGAGTTAAATGCTACAATCCCGAAAATAACTGTGAAGACAAAATGCAGCTTTTGCAATTTTCTACTTCACATTACCCCTGTAAAATTCGAATCCCTCCTTTCCCCGAATCAATTTTAGATAAGTAGTTCTATCATTTGTGCTTCACATACATGCACTCTACAACAAAGGGGGGGGGAGATATTTTTTAAAGGAATGAGAAAACATAAACTGTTGCAACTGCAACTGGTTTGTAGGTCCTGTTATCAAGGCATAAAACATTTGAGACAAGGGAAATAAATTGAAAAACCCTACCCATTATCAACTTCGAAAAAATTTCGAGATCAATCCAAACGACAAGCAGGGAGACAAAAGCTTACATTAAGTACAGTTATAATTCAGAATAAAATCGATAATTATACGGTACAAGACTCTAGCAATTTCTAGGCCAACACTTTCTGTCCCAGTAATTTGATACTTTGACGATTGAAATATTTTCGAAGCTAGAGGAATACTGCTTAAACACGTTGATAAGTATCTATTAACATTAGTATCTATACACGCAGTAATCCGAAAGTACCAGCATGCCATAATCAGAATCCATCAATAAAAAGAAAAGAGAATTAAACAGGGGGAGGCTGGTAGATAAGAAGCTGGGGGCTCCGTGTGTAATAACATTTACTTGAAAAACTCATTTTGCGATGTAAGTGTTAAACCACGAACCAGCCCCCAAACAGTTCGGTCGGGCAATGTTTCGAAAGCTGCGGATCAAGTGATGGAAAAAAGATGGAAAGGGGGTCTTTGGATGATTTTCGTTTACAAATGAGGAAACACCCCCCTTTTACAAGTCAAGGTTCACATTTTTCAAACATGTGAATTCTCCGTATTTTGATGTTAAAATACTTTAAAACCAAAAGTATGCCCTTAAACTAAATTAATTAATTTTCAATTAACACATGTCTATAAATAAACCAGGACTTGCTTAATTTCGGACACATTTCAAAAGTTGGAGAAAGACGTATGTCTATTATAGCTAGGCTATACCTCCACAGACTAAACCGAGAAAACTAGTTGGTCATTTACAAAAGCCACTGACATTCTTGCTTTGAATAAAGTTTTAACGGGAAAGCTGTTTTCTTAGATTCGAACCAAGAACTGGACCAAATGGGCATAAAGATGGAATTGCTGATCCATGAAAGGCTGCCAGATAAAATTAAAGGCAGAACTAGGCAATTCATTCTTTACTTTAGAAAACATGACCTTACATGACATCATGCGAGAAATTTCGTAATCAGCATTGCCTTTCTATAAGATTGCAAGGAAGGTGCTTGATAGAGAAGAGGTTATAGGCCAAAGAGGGGGCCAAAAAGGGATTTGCTTTGGCATATATGAATATACACTGGTTTAATGCAAAGGGTAAAAAGTTTTCCCTTGTCTTACTCCCTAGGTAAAATGAAATCAAGCTGTTTCTGAAATCTTGTCTACGAGAAGTACGAGCTGCCAGGTTAAAGAGACGTTCGTATGCAACACAAACCTACACCTGCTTCATTAGCATCCCGACTTACCAGAACTTAATCTAGCGTGAAGTTAGGTTTGCCTCACGAAGGGACGGAAGCCTATCATATCGAATACTTGCTTTTCTCACTCATTACTCTCGTTATAAATTATTCATAGCCGAGCCATTTAGAAACAGATGCAATACCACTGTCAGTATACGAGCTCCCAGTCGCTTTATTCTCTACAACGTTATTTTCGGGCTGAAAGTTTAGATCGTCTACATCAGCATGTTCAAGGAACTCAAAATCTGCTTCAACAGCACGTGTGCACTCTTCCGAGCTGAAATCGGATGCATCGTAAGTTTCGTGTGGAATGGGACCATGTTTTGAATCCCTTTCGACTCTTCTCTTTCTGAGTTGCGATTCGTTATCTCCGACCGGGCGACTCATTGTCATTATTGCTGGATCTAAAACAAAGCGAAGTACCTATGATTAAAATAAAACTGACAGCGACAAAAAATTGATTCCAATGGAAGACTTAGAGACAGGGGTAGCGAAGCTTTTGTTAGAGACAGGGGTGGCGAAATTTTTATCAAGATACAGGGGTGGCGAAATTTGATTGAAACTATTCTTCGCCGTGGTAAATGTAGAAAGTAAACCCCCGAGTAGGTTAACCGTCATCGACCCTCATTCAGTAATTCTAACCCTTCTAAGAATGAAATTTGGATTTGTGTACGTAGTATTAGGATTAGTCCACAC